ATATATAATATATAACAAAGACTAATCTTGTTATTTGGTAGAAAAAATAATAAAGAATAATTGAAAACAAAATTTACAGCATAAACAAAATGTGTATAAAATGACAAGATTATTACATGAACTTGAACCTGTTGAACAAAAATAGTCATTTGAAATTTATTTTGCACATCATAATTACTTTATTTTTGAAAACACAACACAATTTTCACTTGCACTAGAATTTGATTAAGATAGATTTCTATTGTAATTAACGCAAATTGTAATATATATACAGAACTTTATAAAGTTGTAATTAGAGTAACTTGTTATATATATCTTGAACTTTTTTATGAAATAACTAGTTTATAATATATAAAGAATTACAGTCCCTTGGTACATTAAGGAAAAAGCTTTGTTGCCATTACATCGGAAATGGTTAATTTCCCACCCTTTCTTCTTCTTCTTCCCTTCTTTCATAGATAGAGTTCCATCCATCCCTCCATGCACGCTTATGTTGACTTAAGATTTACATAATTCAAGTTTAAACTAAAATTACATACAGATCTTTAACGTTCAACACAGCCCTTAAGTTTCATGAACTCCGAACTTCCTGAATCATTCACAATAGTAAAGCATTTCCATTATATTTTTCATGGAATAAATGAACTTTAAACGGGGCGCTTAACGCTTAACCAACTTTAATCAGGTCGCATTTGTATTACGGATCACCAAAAACAAGAACTCTCTCGGCACTCATCTCCGTGTGCTATTTTCTATATTTTCAACCGTTTTACTCTGCAAAAGAGGGGTCATCATCCCATCAGGTGAGGCTCTCAAGGGCTCAAACCCACAACCTTTGCTATCTTCTTCTTGTGCTTTCCCCCACATTACGGGATAAAACCCCAACTAGCAGTATCGTTGCTCCAAGGACACTGGAAAATGTGTTGTCTGAGATTAGATAGCAAATTGACTGTACTTTTGATGATCTTGAAACTAATCCTCAGAATCAACTTGTAAGAGTAATGGTACGGTTATATACCTCCCAAGAAAAAGAGAATCGCCAAGGAATATGACACTGAAAGCAGCTGCGATGGCAATAGAAAACGGCTTAAAGATTGAGGCATAAGGAGGGCCCTTCAAGTGCACCACCCATGTGCTGAGCAAAGCATCGTAGGATGGACCAAAGACTCCCTGATCGCAACAAATATTGAGAAATCCTTAAACCAGTTGAACGTAAATGTAAAACTAAACAGCATGCTATACTATTAATACGTATTCCAATTTACAATTTCTTACTGACACTACAATGGTGACCAATGCTTTATCAGGCTTCACTGTCCAATGGCTCCACTTTGCTTCCGCTATAAAGCAAATTGGTAAGGCAATAATAGTCTTGCATAGGAAATATATGGATGACACAATTTGCTCATCTGGGTACATCTCTATCACCTGGGTCTGTCAAGTACTAGAAAGAAGTAAAATGTAATTGCTTTCATGAATAACTTGTCAACAATTTGTGAATCAGAACACACTATTTTGCGCAGGGACATTTGGAGAGATTTTCCGAATTTTAAGTTACCTGAAGGATGTACCAGATTGAGCTAAAAAGGCTTTGCAAAACTAGTAAAAGGCCTCCTGTGATCCCATTTGTTTGTGTTGTTTCTAGAGGATACTGAAGTGAAGGAGGCGACCGTGGAGAAGGTGATGAAGATGCAGAGGATATGATTGTGGGTCCCTTGTAGAGAACGGCCATCAATGCACCTGATATTGAAAGCATGGTGCCTATGATTTTCAGACGAGTTGATGAGCTTCACGGATTCAGATTTTCAATCCTTGATGATGTGACAATATTTTCTGGCATTGATTATGATATTGATGATGTGACAATATTTACATAGCTTTGCAACAAGAGTTTCTCGCCGTTGGATGAGGATACAAAACCACCTAATCCACCGTCCATGTATCTATAGCATACGTATAAAACCAAAATCAAACCAATAATAGCTCAAAAAACGCTGCATAGTTGTGAATGGCCATCAATTTGAGCTGACGTTTACCATTTGTGTGACTCAGCTATGAAGACTTTCCATCATCTGTATTTGGAAAAAAAATAAAAATAAAAAAGAGGAAATTGACCATGGCACTAAGACAATTAAGTTGCCGGAACGCCATTATTTTTCACAAATCACGTGATTATGTTGGTACTCTAATCACACCTTTCACTACCTAGAAAAGAAATAAGTAATGTGAAAAAATGACATTTTTTATTTAAGAAAAAAATTAGGTGCACTGGCGGATTATGCCCTTGTTTAATGGAGACCTATGACCTATTTGATAATATAAAATTATAACTATGATGTTATCTAATGAACATTTTTTTGGAAAATTTTCAAGAATGCCATAGAAAGATAACATTATATTTTATTTCTACTATCAATTTTAAATTTATTATTTACGCCATCAGTTTTTGTGTTTCATAAGAATACGTTTCATATTCTAGTAGAATATTTTTTAATGGCATGAATAATAAAATTATGAAAAATAATTGTTATTTTTGTAATTTTCTGCTTTTTTACTAGGTGGCCATTATTACACCTTTTTTTTTTTTCTTATGCAGCGTCAGTTACATTTCTCTTAACCATTTTTTAATATACTAGCAAAGGTACTATGATATAATTGTACTGTCGGTAAGCTATTCTTTTAAACAGAACATAATAATCTTCTTTTTTTTTCGCCGGACGAATATTATAATCATATTGTTGCTTTGATTAGAAGCAACGTTGGAGTGGACTATTTTAATAGAAATAAATAAGGAGTTATTCTTTTAGAATAAAACTCAGAAAAAGTTTGAACTGGAGTTATAATTTTATTTAAGTTCATGTTCTTTCATAAAATTTGAGTTTAAACTCGAGTTTGAACTCGAATTTAAACTCGAGTTTGGGACTAAACTTGAGTTCAAATTTTCTCTTCAACTTGAGTTCAGAAACTCAAACTCAAATTAATGAATAGTATTTTTTCTATTCTTAAAAATGTCATAACGTTTTCATTTTAATTCTAATTGAGATGATTTTTTTTCTATACATTTACAACGAAAAGATGAATAAAACTCCACCCATATACCATATTAAAATTTTTCATTACCATTGAGTTTTTATTAAAATACTATCTAAATACAAATTTAAATTTTGACCCACCCAAATACAAACTCAAAAAGATTCTCAATTCAAATCATAACTCAAATGTGCACATTCAAACACAAACTTAAGTTACAACTTCAATTCAAGTTATAACTCAAACTTAACTCAAAATAATTACTCAAATCACTGTAACTCAAAAATATAAAAGAACAACCCCTAAATATCTTGTAACAAAAGTGCCATTACTTTCTTACTACTGTCCAACCAAACGACCTAAATTAAAATAACAAAATATATTTACAGTGCCACACCAAAAAAAAAAAAAAAAAAAAAAAAAAAAAAAAAAAATCATTTCATCTTCATCTCCTTTTTTTTCATTCTTTTCCTGTTTCACCAAATGAAAATTGAAAGATCGTCTGCATTGACCGTGTTTAGAGAGATAAATACACAATAATTACATAATTCATTTGTTTAGTGTGCTATTTATTCTCCATATCTTCAACTCTATGACTCTGCAACAAAGGGATCTTCCCATGAGATATTGAAGAGGCACAATCCTTGACATCTTCTTCTTGTGCTTTTCCCCATATCACAGCATAAAACCCAAGTAGTAGTATAATTGCTCCGACGACACTAGAAAGTGGGCATTAGAAAAAGGAAAATCAACAGTAATTCTTCTTTATATATAATCTTGGAAGTAATCCAAAAAAAAAAAAAACATACAATTTGGATAAAAGAATGGAGTAATTGGGCAGTTCGTTATAATATTACCTTCCAAGGAAGAGATCATCACCAAGGAATATGACGCCAACAAACGCAGCAATGGCAATAGAAAATGGCCGGAAGATAGAGATATAGAGAGGTCCCTTCAAGTGAAGCCCCCACGTGAGCAGTAATGTGCAGAAAGATGAACCAAAAAATCCCTAAAAAAAATAAAAATAAACCACGACCAATTGCACGTATATATCCAATAGCTTGATCATGAGTTATTATGTAACACCATAATAAATTTAGTTTCTTACTGATAATACAACAGTGATCAATGATATCTTAGGCTTCAATGTCCAAGCGCTCAATTTTGGTTCTGCTATAAGGCATACTGGTACTGCAATAGTTGAGGCGCACAGAAAGTACACAGGCACCACAATTTTTGTATCTGGGTACGTTTTCATCACCTGGGTCTGTCAAGAAATAGTTAGTCCATTGATATGTAACAACTTGAACTTTGCCGCAAAACTAATTAGAACCCACAGTTAACATTCTAGGCTCCGTTTCGTACGAGGATTTAAACTAATGTAATTTTAATTTTGGTTTTAAAATCAGAATTATGATTCATAATTTTGGGTCTAAATTATCGTTCTGAAACCAGAACTATAATTAGGGATGGTTCTAAAATCAGAACTATAACTGAACGTTTGGTTCACGGATGCAGAACTATGATTTAAAATCATTCTCAATTTACGTGTGTTTTTTGTAAAATAAAATACTGTAGCGAGCCACGAATCATGATTCAAATTATGGTACGAATTCTCATACCAAACATGAATTTTGTTGGGTCGAACCAGAACCACTTTTTACTTTTTATAAACAAACACTGGTTTAAACAAAAACCGTGATTCCAGTACTAAAACCCCCCATAAAGTCTCATCCGTCAAAAAGTCTGGCAATCCTTTTAATATGAATCAAACTCAGAATATATGGATTTATAACATATCTCTAAGTATCACACGTCTAGGTTGTATAGACTTAGTCATACAGCAGAGAGTAGATCGCTACCCCGCCTTAACTTTTTTTTTTTCCTTTTAACTTTATATGTGAAATCTAATAAAATTTGTAGCTTATCGTCCTTGAAATCCGAAATTTTATATTTGTCCCACTTTATAATTTGTAAAACTTCTTACTTGTGTGTGAAATCTAATGAAATTTTTAATGTACTCACCCGGACTCTGGACCTAGTATTTTGAACAAGTTACCTGAAGAATGTACCAGATTGAGGAGAGAAGGCATTGGGAAGCTATTAAAAGGCCTCCTAGGACCCGATTCCTTTTTGATGTTTCGGAAGAATATTGAAGGCCCAGGGATAATGATTGAGGAGGAAATGAAGATGAAGAGGAGAAAATTATAGGACCCTTGTAGATAACTGCTACCAATGCGCCAGATAATGAAAATAAGGTGCCTATGATTTTGATACGAGTCACTGAACTTCTAAGATCCAGATTCTCCATCCTTTACGAGGCAATAACAAATAATAATAATAATAATAATAATAATAATAATAATAATAATGACAATGATGATAAAATTCTTTATATGCACATAACAAACATAAAAAATGTATAAAAAAAAAAAAAATGGGGGAGGAAAAGACCTGAAAATGATAGCCAATATGAAAGTAAAAGCCGGTGTAATGTTACTGACAGCTGAGGCAAGAGTTGGAGAACTGTATTCTATACCTTTACATCCACATATGCTGCATGTAAACCTGCCTTACAAAACAAAAAAGAATGAATAAATGAATAAGAAAAGAAAAAGTTGTTGTCTACATGATAAGGAAAATAGAAGTCTCTTTTCGTTCTTTTTGTTTTTCCTTAAATTAAATCACGTGATCAAATTATAATGGATTTCAGTGATATATATCTCCATACCCAATTAGTCCCAAAAGGACAATTTTTAAGAAAAAAGACAGCTCAAAAGAACGAAGTTCCCTCCTGCACCAAATTCAAATATAACCCACTATCATTTATTATATGGATTAAGTGAAAAATACTTGTGATTATAAAGCTTTAATGAGAAGGAGATCAAGAGAGGTATATTTATATATTTATTTACCTTGGAAATATGAAGGGAAGAGGAAGCAGAACAAGAGTACCTAAAACATAAGAGTATGCGACAAAGACAAAGTAGCTCAGCCCTTCCAAAGTGGCTGCTTTGTAAAAAGTATTTACGCCGACCGCGGCCAACTCTACGGCGGCCATGGCTGCGAACGGCACAATTTCTTTACGACCGCAGCCTGCCATCTTTCCTTCCCTTCCTGATCTCTCTAGCCTCACTCGGTCTTTAAAAGACTTTTTTCTTCTAATTCTCTAGTTGGTGAAGCATCTTTGGTTTAAATTACGTGACGGTCACATTACTCTTTTGAATTTTCTAGCGTTGAGTATTATGCCATGATGGGACAATATATTTAGCTTTGAAAAAAAAGGTTCCTCGCCGTTGAACAAGGATATAAAACAACCTAATCCATCGAGATAACCGAAACGAAACCATTATAGCTCAGAAAATAGATGCTGCCAAGTTGTGAATCACCGCTAGTGTGTGTTTGGTTGGGGAGAGATCAGAAGGGAAGGAGAAGAGGACCAATACATTATTTAGTTGGAGGGAGTATACGATAGAGATGAGGAGAAATACTAGCATCATTTTTTGTCACTTTTAAATTTTATTTTTTGATACGTAAATTCTAATAATATATTATTATTTAAAAAAAATAAGACAGTGAAATACACGTGTCAAATAATGAATGTAGAGAGTGACATAAAGAGTAACATAAACTATAATTATAAATGATTAATCATAATGAAAGATGAATGATCGCGTATACAAGAAACGTTTTCATCATGCCACATTGTTACTCGATATATATATA